ATTTGTTGGTACTCTACTCACCTCTGGACACCATCATTTTCAAGTTCAGTTTATCTATTTCCTGTTTTTCTATTTGCAATTTACAACACACTTCATCTCAAGGCTTTTTCCAGAAGCAATTTAATCAAATCATACAGGCAGATTGGTTAAAGGTTTTCTTACTAAGAAAACCTGGCAGATTGCATTGAGCCATTGACTTTGCAAGATTCACGTAGGAAGAGGTAAGAAAAAAAACCTCTCTATTTTAAAAGGAAAAAAATCTCCTTTTATCTGTAATCTGGGGTTAGAGAAGATGTTTTTCAGATATCACAAATACATATTCAGTCAGGCTGATAAATATCAGAACAGCCACTTAAGATGTGTAAACATTTCCACATACATAAAACTTAATTCTTACTAGTAAAATTTTAAATAATCAATAATGTAAATATAGAAAATATATTATTACAGTTAGGTCTAGGAATGTGATTTTTATCTTGAAGAATCTTATTTTAATGATCTACAAATGGCACAACAGAGAAGAGAGTGTTTTTAATAAATTTAAAAACAGCCTGCCATATAAACTTACGCATTAACTCGGGCAACAATCTTCTCGCCTGTGTAGCTGTATCGCTGTTTCTGGATCTCTTGTTCCAGTGGGGTGAAATAGTCACTTCCTGGTGCCTGTTTTCATGGTGACTTGTCGGATCAGTGCTCCACCAATAATGGCTTTTCATACTTGTTGCACATGCATTAAACTCTGAGTGTCTACTTGGAGTTGATTGACCTACTTCATAGCAGCCGTTGTGAAACCAAAAATTTAGAGTTCGCGACCTAAGACTAGATCAATTTAGAGTTGCGGATTTGAATCTGAGTTTTTTAAACCTGCTTTGTGAAACTGACCTCTGATGTCTCTATAGATATAATTGTCCAAAAACATTAGTTAGTCTAACCTTTATTCTCTGTCTATCGCCCTGAATAATTTTGATAATTATCTGATCCTTTTAAGCACTAAGAGCATGTCAGTTAAAGTCTTGGGAGGTCATGGAAGGTCATGGAATGAAGAATGAAGAATGTATATATATATATATATATATATATATATATATATATATATATATATATATATATATATATATATATATATATATATATATATATATATATATATATATATATATATATATATATATATATATATATATATACAGGTGCTGGTCATAAAATTAGAATATCATGAAAAAGTAGATTGATTTCAGTAATTCCATTTAAAAAGTGAAACTTGTATATTATATTCATACATTACATACAAACTCATATATTTCAGATGTTTATTTTGTTTAATTTTGATGATTACAAATGACAACAAATGAAAATCTCAAATTCATCATATCAGAAAATTAGAATATTACTGAAGACCAATAAAAACAAAGGATTTATAGAAATGTTGGCCAACTGAAAAGTATGAACATGAAAAGTATGAGCATGTACAGCACTCAGTATTTAGTTGGGCCTCCTTTGGCCTGTATTACTGCAGCAATGCGGCGTGGCATGGAGTCGATCAGTCTGTGGCACTGCTCAGGTGTTATGATAGCCCAGGTTGCTCTAATAGTGGCTTTTAGCTCTTCTGAATTGTTGGGTCTGGTGTATTGCATCTTCTTCTTCACAATACCCCATAGATTTTCTATGGGGTTAAGGTCAGGAGAGTTTGCTGGCCAATTAAGAACAGGGATACCATGGTCCTTCAACCAGGTACTGGTAGCTTTGGCACTGTGTGCAGGTGCCAAGTCCTGTTGGAAAATGAAATCTGCATCTCCAAAAAGTTGGTCAGCTGCAGGAAGCATGAAGTGCTCTAAAACTTCCTGGTATGTGGCTGCGTTGACCCTGGACCTCAGAAAACACAATGGACCAACACCAGCAGATGACATGGCACCCCAAACCATCACTGACTGTGGAAACTTTACACTGGACTTCAAGCAACGTGGATGAAGTGCCTCTCTTCTTTTCCTCCAGACTCTGGGACCTTGATTTCCAAAGGAAATGCAAAATTTACTTTCATCAGAGAACATGACTTTGGACCACTCACCAGCAGTCCAGTCCTGTTTCTCTTTAGCCCAGGCAAGACGCTTCTGACGCTGTCTGTGGTTCAAGAGTGGCTTGACACAAGGAATGCGACAGCAGAAACCCATGTCTTTCATACGTCTGTGTGTGGTGGTTCTTGAAGCACTCACTCCAGCTGCAGTCCACTCTTTGTGAATCTCCCCCACATTTTTGAATGGGTTTTGTTTCACAATCCTCTCCAGGGTGCGGTTATCTCTCTTGCTTGTACACTTTTTTCGACCACATCTTTTCCTTCCCTTCGCCTCTCTATTAATGTGCTTGGACACTGAGCTCTGTGAACAGCCAGCCTCTTTAGCGATGACCTTTTGTGTCTTGCCCTCCTTGTGCAAGGTGTCGATGGTCGTCTTTTGGACAACTGTCAAGTCAGCAGTCTTCCCCATGATTGTGTAGCCTATAGAACTAGACTGAAAGACCATTTAAAGGCTTTTGCAGGTGGTTTGAGTTAATTAGCTGATTAGAGTGTGGCACCAGGGGCCATCAATTTTGAACCTTTTCACAATATTCTAATTTTCTGATATGATGAATTTGAGATTTTCATTTGTTGTCATTTGTAATCATCAAAATTAAACAAAATAAACATCTGAAATATATGAGTTTGTATGTAATGTATGAATATAATATACAAGTTTCACTTTTTAAATGGAATTACTGAAATCAATCTACTTTTTCATGATATTCTAATTTTATGACCAGCACCTGTATATAAGGACATGACTATTTTAAGGCAATTATTGTTAATATGTCCTGACACAGTTAATCACAGGGAATACCACAGCCTTGATCTTACAGCTATAGGACCCGGTGTGTAGAGGGAATTGTTTGGTTATGCCATTGCTTCTAACGCCATTGCTAGTTTCCTCTTGCAGCGCATGTACAGTTCTAGACTGGTTTTGAATACCTCTAATTGTAGCTCCTAGCTCCTATCCCTTCACCTTTTGCAACCATAAGAACACTATCCTGGGTGAGAAAGGAGTTCCAGACTGCTGTTCTGAACTCAAATGGCCTTAAGCCTTATAGACATAACCCTTAACCCTAACCCTTAGACATTAATAGGGATTACAGCCTTTCAAAAAAGAACTGCAAAAAACAGAAGTTATTCAAATATAGCTTAAGACTGAAGCTCACTTTCTTGAAAGCCAAAGCATGTGAAGGTGAGGGCATTTGCATGTGTGACTCAGAGTACATGCCACACAATAATGTATTTTTGTTAAACTCTGCTGGACTGTGCCTTTATGTTGTGTCACACAAAGGATTGTTGGCAACTGTATAGTGTCTAGGAACATCAGGAGGTCATTATGCTAACTGCATTGGCACTAGAAACCATACTGCTACCATATCCAAGCTCCTCGCTAATTGCCAGCAGTTTTCTGACAGGCCAGTGGATGCACTTCCGCCATGGCATAAGTGATCTTACCATTAGGAGGTATTCGGATTGAACCCTACTGCCTTTTTATCGAGTAAGCTTTAGTTTCAGCCATTCATTATGTCTCAATTTATCTTACTCTATACTTTAAACAAGGCTGGGAGTTAAAAAAAGCAAAATGTCTTTCAAATTTATGAGAAGAACATTTGATAGGAGTTCCGCCTGAGCAGCAGAAGAGCTGGTAGTGTACTGGTACTGTAGGATGGACATGCACACAAGCAGTTATTAAAAAGTGGCTTGTGCATGTCTTACCTATATTTCTGGAAAAGTGGAAGACTATAACTTTAATAAACATGCAATATCTAAAGCACAACCCTAAAAATGTCAACTATTTAGGTGACAGAACCTAATGCTTGAGAAACATCTCTTTATATCACACTTAAGATTTACCCTTGATGTGTATTTAAGATCCACAGAGCACCGCATAGACAAAAAAAATAGTAAGTGGACAGTTTTGTGGGGGGAAAAACATTTGTGGACCCTCCAGCAGGAGAGGGTTCACAAATATGTTTGTTGTCCATTTAACCTAATACAATCTCAAAGGTCCTATATCAGGGTTTGTGCTACATGTAATTTGATCATGGGGCTACCCTTAAGCAAAATAAAACCTTGCCTTTAGAATAAATTAAAGGAGAATATGTCAAAATAATGAAAAGCCTATGATACAGTAGAGTCCGTATTTTTCCCACATATTCTAATCTACATCCTAATGTATGGTTTTTTATATTGTCTTTTTTTGTGTGAAGCTCTTGCAATAAAAAAAATCGTGCTGTGTACAAGACAGCTTGAATTCACCTTCTAATGCGTGTGCCTGGGATTACTGTATGTGTAGAGTTCTATTATAAGAAATGTAAGAAATTAATTGTACCAAATTAATCCATCTTATTAAATCATTCATTATTTAAGCCCAACTGTTGTTGTTTATTCTTAAATTGTTTGGTGTTTTTAAAGGATAAAAAACTTCAACAGTGGTCACAAATTTAAAATGTCAATGGCTGATTAATAGAGACATCCAAAGTGGTTTTAAATGTCATCCTCTCCTCTGCCAGTCTCTCTCTCTGTCACTACAACCAATGGGTCAGAGCCTAAAATGGGTCACAGGCCTATGCTTAATAGATCCCCAAATGACCACTCTGGTGAAATGCTTTCAGTACAGGTCCCTTGGTGAGAGACTAAATGTTTCATTTGGGTCCCAAGCTGCATGGATTTAAGAGCCCTGGACCTAAATGATAGCTAGACCTCGGGCTCAGCCTTAGACTGTGATGGGACAGCAAGTCCTCGGGCTTGTCTCTAATTCTCACCCAGGCACAGTAAAGGGGGTCTGTCCACAGCTGATAAGTGGTTTTAATGTGATCTCCACTCTTCTTCTCTCTTCAATTTTCCCCTCTCCATTCCTCATCACTGCTCTGCTTTCTCTGATCCTTTTCATCACCTCTTCCTCTCATCTCCCTCCTTTCTCCTGATCCATGTGTCTTAGGTGATGGCGTGGCTCCAGGTATGGACAACTGGACTCATCGTCCCTCTTCTCAACTTTGTCGCCTTTGCTCAAGACTCTGGCCTTTCTGGGGTGGTACCAGAAAGACCACAATCAGACATAATTGTGAAGAAAGAATCCTATCCGCTGCTGCGCAGACAGAAGAGAGAATGGTTGTGGAACTCCCTTTATGTGATAGAAGAGAACCCTGTACAATTCCCCTTTCAGATAGGACAGGTATGGTTAACACTTTTAATAAAGGATTTCTGGGGTTTGGGGACTATATTTTCAATGTAAATTAACATTTTCTTTCACTTACATTTCTTGTAAAACATGTCTTCTATTTTCTAAGTGAACATTTGAATACTTTTCACTTGCAGAATTTTCTTGATTGATATCATGATTTTCCTGTTCATTTACAGCTTAAGTCCAGCAAGCAAGTGGCGGTGAAGTCGTTTACAATAGAAGGCGAAGGAGCAAACACCATCTTCACGGTCAACAAGAAAGGAGGCGAACTCTATGTCAACACTCTTCTGGACAGAGAAGAGAAAGCTCAGTATCATTTGACGGCTAAGATGTACGATGGGAACGAGGTGTTGGTAGAGAGCGCCGGGGACTTTATTGTCCAAGTGACGGATATCAACGACAACTGCCCCGTTTTTTCAAAGGAATACAAAGGATCTGTCGTGGAGCGAAAGAGTATGTTGGATCGAGACGCAATTTATAAATGATAAAGCATGCAAGACATATTTGCCAGGGCTGATTCAGATGGTACACTGGAAAAAAAATCGAAATCTAGATACGTTATTTTTTCTTAAAATAAGTGCATTTGTTCTTGGATTGAGGAAGTAAGAGACATTTTGCCAATAGAACAAGACAATGTACAGTTAAAATAAAAAAACACAGTTCCATTGTCTTATTTCAAGGGCATTTTACATAATTGTCTTACTTTAAGAGTAAAAATACTCATTCCATTGGCAAACTATCTCGTTTACCTACTCAAATTAAGGGTAAATACGCTTAATTTAAGAAATGTTTACTTACTTCTAGATCATTTTTCCAGTGTAGGCTAGTCAACCTGATTGAAGTGTGTTTCGAGTTGCAAATTGGAATTTTAACTAGATTTTGCTGAACCTTGGCAAAGAGAAAAATGCTGTTTAGAAACCTCTTTATCCCCCAAACATGAAAGGGAATTTTTCTTCTCCTGTATGTAGCAAAAAAAAAAAGAAAAAGAGATATTTCCAAGACGAATGGAGATATGTACTTTACTGAATGTGCAGCAATTTTCAAAGCCATAAGGAGGAGTTCAGAACCCTTAAATTTTTATTCATACATAACAACTTTCAGAGTGTGTGTTTGCTGTTGCACATGACCTCATTGTATGGTTTTCTTTTCCATTTTGTATACAAGTCTTTTTTTTTCCAGCTCCCTAGAATGACTCAGGCTTTTTCAGAGTGTCTTTAAAAATATATACAGTATTTTGAACTTTGAATTTCCCTTTATTTAAACTAAAACTTATGGCTCCCTCTATGCGATGGATGCATGTCTAGGAGGGTAAATCTATCTACACCCATTCAGAAGTTTATTTCAGCCCAAAAGGAAACAGATTTTACTTTTTTCAGTGTTGCAGGACATTCTGCCCCCTATCATCCCTTTATTTATAACCCTGGAAATGCTAAGCGAAAGCATTCCCACAGCATCATGCTGCCACTTCTATTTCCTGTTGGTGGTGGTGTGTTCAGAACAATAGATGAGCCTCTTAGCATCTTTACTAATGTTTTTTGACCCTCCTGTCGGGTTTAGACATCTCTTTGTGGTGATGCAGTTTTTTGAGGTGATGCACTGAACGATGCTCTATGGCAGTGTTTCCCAATGTTTTTGACTTGTGTAACCTTTCGGGTATTTTTCCATACCATCAGTACCCCTCTCAGTCAAACAGTATTGATGATTGTCCAAAAGTGGAATGTATAATAAGTGATTAAAATAGAAGCTATTTTAATTAATTTCACCTTTAATTTAACTATTTAATTCTCAGGCATCTTATACTTTCCATCTGAAAAAATAAAAAAAAAACAACATAAATATGATACCTGGAAGTTTGTATGGAATCGAAATAAATACAAAATAAAATCATATTATAAACCTGTATTTATGAAACTGGAGCTCCTCTGAGTAAATCCCTTGTAATCACTGACTTCTCACTCCGGTCTAAGGGGTTACACTGGAGAAAGTCGAAATCTAAATAAGTGATTTTTTTCTTAAAATAAGTGCGTTTTTTCTTGGATTGAGGAGGTAAAAGAGACATTTTGCCAATGGAACAAGTGCATTATTATTTTAAGATTAAAAATACTTATTCCATTGGCAAAATATCTCAATTACCTACTCAAATTAAGGGTAAATACACCTAATTTAAGCCTTTTTTTCTTGTTTCTAGATCTTTTTTCCAGTGTGGAGTGAGAACTGCAGTGTCTTCTTTTGAAATGTAATGTTACTTAAATTGAATACATCTGCAATTTGAAAATTGGGTTTTTTTGAATTGCAGTTATATTGCAATTGCAATTAATTGCCCAGCCCTACTCCGGTTCTACAAAAAATATCTGAGGCCTTAACAGAACAGCTGAAATGAAACTAGAATGAATTTACCCACACATGGATTGTATTTAGCCTTAAGCTACTTCTGATGATATACTGGAAGCTTGGCATGATACCAATTGTATCTACCTCTATAAATGTCTGAACATCACCCGATCTCTACGCTTTAAACTTTGCAGTTTTATATAAGAACGCATTTGAGAAGTTATCGATTGTTTTACAGGTATTATAAATTTTTTTCCAATTAGATAAGCACAAGATATGTATTGGAAACAGTTTAAGGTGTTTAAGAAGAGGAACATTTTGATTTCTGTAAATCAATGTGAAAAAGCTCAGAGTGATGCTGACTGATATCACTGTTTTCCCATCACCTAGAGGGGACGGTGTTTGAGGTGACGGCGACTGATAAAGATGATCCGACCACTGCCAATGCAATGCTTCAGTACTCTCTAACCAGAGATGCAGAGACTTGGGATCTCTTTGAAATCCACCCAATTTCAGGTAAGCAGCCTGCTGCAGCAATTGCCACCGCAACTTTTTCTCTCTGCAACTTATTGCTTTATTTTTTGGTGGAAAGCTATTTTTATCTAAACCTGACACAGAGGTGACATTAAAGATAACACAATAACACCTCCTCTGTCGCTCGACAGGTATGATCACCTCCAAGACAACCAGCCTGGACCGGGAGAAAAAGAGTCAGTATGTGCTGAGGGTGGAAGCGAGGGACATGAATGGAAGGCCCTCTGGCTGCCTCAACACCACCACGGTCCCCATCACCATCACAGACATCAATGACAACATGGCATCTTTCAGCAATAGTAAGCTGACACTCGGGAGATCTGATCACTTGATGTTTCAAGAAGTTTAATAAAATTGGTGAAAGTGTACCATATTTACCAACATCCTGTATTATTTTGGCCTTTTCTTTTTCTTTCCCTAGGGAAATATGAGATCAGTGTGAAAGAAAACCATAAACTTGACGAGGAGATCGGCAAACTGACAGTCATGGATAGAGATGAGCCTGAGAACAAGCAACCCCTATTCTCCATCTTAAGTGACGGCGGGAAAACATTCAACGCTAACCCTGATCAGAATAAGGACTGCATCCTGGTGCTCAAACAGGTAGGGGGCCTGCAATAGATATGCTGTTTCATGAAAGTTCTTGTAAATGTGCTTTAGCTGATTCACACTAAATGGGGCAAGGCTGTTTCCATTTCTGCAGGGCCTGCTTATGAAAAGCCAGAATATCCCAAATGTTTGGTCCTGACAGCAGATTTTATGGCCATTTCTATTTTACTGATTTGTATGATCTTATCCTGTATTGAGCTATACTGACAGAATATCAAATATTTTTTTCAAGGCTGCACCTTGAAGCAATATTAACTTAGTAATCACCATATGTGTGAATGCCCTACAGAAATTGAGGTCTAATATTAACTCTTTTTCATTAGGGGCCTGCTTGCATGACTAGACCAAGTTGTTATGGATAGACTGTAGGTATGAAGAAGCAGAGTAACACTTTCTTTGAAGTCTTCCTGCTATTTATTTAAATGAGGCTACTTGTTTAAAATTGCCAGCTAAAAAGCAAATAGAAAACTGTTCCCTCATGCTTTTTTGTCTTTATTTTTCTCCTCAACACTAAAATTATTACATCTCAGTCTTCCTTATTTTTTAACTCCTCCCACAATGACAACTCTGGTAAATTTCTCCAAGTTCTGAGATATTGCATATTGTTTCCTGCTAATTGTTCAGTGTTTGTCCTTCTGCTGCTGCTGAAGTTTACCCAAATTTCCTAAAGCACTAAACTGCACAATTCAAACACAGCTGCTTATACTCCCAATCATTTAAGGAAATATATCTCCTGTTTCCATTTTAGGAATAAAAATTTAGGCAGGATATTCACTTTGAAGAAGAAAAAGAAACCTAAATATTGTCTGGTTTCCTGAAGACACAGCGACTGAGAATACGTTGTAGAGATGAATGGATTTCGTCTAAATTTACTCCCCAAATAATGCAAAAACCCCTCGGAATGTGTTAAAACCTCATTTTCAAATGTTCCAGCTCCAGGAACTGATGGAAAGCTCTTGCGCAAACATGAAAAAATCCGAGAGTTAAAAATACATTCTGGTATCACAAACATTACAAACAGGCAAGAGAGGAGCAGCAGGATGATAGCAGCAGTGCTCTGACAGGATTTCCATAAATTCTCATACAGAAATATACTGACATTCCTATTGTGTTCATTTTTTTTTTATCATGTTATTTTGCATCTACCGCCACATAACTACAGTGTAAAATGCAAACCTGCAGCCTAAAATGTGAGATGTTTTTTTTACAGGATGACAGTAAAATACAACAGTGTGTTGGAACCGCCTCCTTCTGGTTTGGGAAGATATTTATGCTAGCAGGGATTTTAGGAGGTTTACTTGTCAAGATAAAGCATTTAGGACTTCAGAGAGTTTAAAATGTATTCTTATAAAATAAGCTGGGTAATAACTGGCTGCCATGCTGGCCTGGAACCAAATCACACCCCGATCTTTTCTCAGCTCTACTCGCCCTTCAGCTCTGCAGCCGCTCTCATCTTCCTCACCGTCTGTGTTTACAAAATAAGCCCAGCTATCGTCCACACTGCCGCGACGGCTTCATTCGTGCTAAGCTGTTTACTAATGCCTTTGATACCCTGCGACTGAACATCCTTGTTACTGTGAATAATCCTGTTAACAGAATATTCCTGTCTACCTGTGTTGTCCCATCCAAAGATGAAAAGCGTTCTTTGCAATGCAGTAGACATAAATTGCTTTTAACCACAGAGTTGAAATAAATGTAAAAACTATAACAGAGAAAAGTAAAGTTAGTTTGATTAGAAATATGATCATAAAGGTGCAGCTTTTTATCTTTTCGTTTCAAGACTTGTGAGAAACTGTAAAAAAAAAAAAAAAAAAAAAAATTATTCTGAGGTTTAAGTTGGTAATAAAAAGTTGCCTTTAATATTGAGTTGACAATTTTTATTTTAGGAAGTGAGAAAGTGCATGTTTCTAATCTTATGTGCCAAAGGGTCTCTTTGAAGTCAAGCTGTGTCTTTCAACAAACCTGGGAAGGATTTAAAGTAGATGCTCTGATGAAATGGAGCAGTTTCTGAAGCCTGAAGTTGACTACAGCTAAAAAGCATATGCTGAACCTGAATTAAAATTCTTATAGAAAACGGAGATGCTCGGTATTTTGTTTTAATTTATAAACCAGCTGATACAGATGTCTTAAATTCAGAACGATTTTACTTCAACAAATCTATTTTCTTATTTATCTCTATTTGTTGTTCTAAGCATAAGGACTATTGGTTACAATGCTGAGATTTTCTAGTAGATATTCAATTTGATTGACTTTTACAATTTGTATGTATAGTTCTAAAGTTATTGTGATGCTTTGACACATTAATCACATTAATTCAATTCAATTCAGTTTTTTTCTATAGCACCAATTCAAAACACATGTCATCTCAATGTACTTTACAGTTCCCCAGATCATAGAGCAAGACTGATTCAAAGTTTTCTATCTAAGGAAAACCAGTTGATTGCATCGACTCATTGACTCAAATACAATCCTTCACACTAAGCATGCTTGAGGCGACAGTGGAGAGGAAAATCTCCCTTTTAACAGGAAGAAACCTCCAGCAGAACCAGGCTCAGTGTGAGCAGCCATCTGCCGAGGCCGACTGGGGTTCAAGGAGACAGAAGCAGAGATACAAAAAGCAGCTGTAAAAGGCGGCCCAGTCCAGGAAACACACAGCCAGGCAGACGAGCTCCGAGCCAGCTCCTTTGTCAGAGGATGAAAGAGAGCACATCCAGCCAGTCACAGTCAAAGAAACAGGACTACACTGAAAAACAGGCTGATCTCCAACATTTATAAACAAAGGTGTTGATGGCAGCAGCACAGCTGATATTTCTCTCCAGGATGGAGTCACAGCCAAACAGGAACAGACCAGATGAAGATACTATGAGAAAAAGCAGAGAGCAGATTAGAGATTTAACAGATTCTGCTGGGTGGGAGAATAGAGATAGAATGATGAAAAAGGGGTCTCTATGTCCTCCAGCAGTCTAAGCCTATAGCAGCATAACTATAGAGATAGCTCAGGACAGGGCCGGCGATTGCTATAGGCGAGCTAGGCAATTGCCTAGGGCGACAAATGTGTTGGGGGCGCCCTCTAGCGTCGCCCTTAGGCTTACTTCCCATTAATCATAGAATTAGAAAAAAAAAGCGAATTAAACTGGTTATGAAGCGTCCGTCAGTTTGACTTAACCTTACGTATATATAAATAGCAAAATATGAACAAATAAATATACCACCGTTTTTTTATTTATTTTTTCACATTTAAGAGAAAACCGGAAAAGATTCTGACGCTTTTCAAGCGCCCTCCAACCCGGAAGTCGTGACGTCAGAACGGGAGCGTTCATGGCAGTCTACTGCACTAAATGCGATAGCCAAAACGAGAAATCTGAAAGCAAAATTTCGACTTCAACCGAGCGATTCCTACCAGGAGACAATTCTGATGTATCGGAGGAAGAATATTTGTGTCTGGAGCCTCACATGTTCGACCCAGATGTTTCAGATGAAGAGAAGGCAGCGGACGAACAACAGCGAGTCGGACAATGAGTGGAGATTGGACGTCGGCAGGTGTTATGCCCAAAAGTGCATGCCTGCCGAAATGCATCCCCAGTCGCGGGAGCGCGCCTCGCTCTGTTGAACTGCATATCGACGAGGAAAACGGATTAAAATATGTTCAATGGAGCTTACCTTCTTATATTAATGATATAAAAACGTTTAAAATACCTCTCGTGGGAATAAAGTTGTGGTTATTTGGCAGATTAATTTACAAAAGTACGGATTTTTTGAACAACATTAAATCCAAAGATTTTGACCATGGTACGGCTGATTTATTTGTTGTGGTCTCTTGCTATTTACACACAACACTAAACCGTGATAGCCGACGTGAGTTTTGAGTTTGCAAAGCTTGTTTCAACAGGGGGGGGCGCAAAACTCAATCTCGCCTAGAGCAACCAAAGGGCTAGAACCGGCCCTGGCTCAGGATAACCTGAGCCACTCTAACTATAAGCTTTATCAAAAAGGAAAGTTTTAAGCTTAGCCTTAAAAGTAGACAGGGTGTCTGCCTCACAGACTAAAACTGGTAGTTGGTTCCTCAGGAGAGGAGCCTGATAACTAAAAGATCTGCCTCCCATTCTATTTTTAGAAATTCTAGGAACCACTAGTAAACCTGCAGATTGACAGCAAAGTGCTCTGTTAGGAACATAAGGAGCAATCAGATCTCTGATATAAGACTGAGCTTGGCCATTTAAGGCTGTATTATTTTACATTAGTTTATAGTGCCGAAGTCCAGAACAGTTGCATTTTTCGAGCAGAGTGATTATCATTAGCACAGTTAGCATTCTTGCCCGAAGTAATAGCCCTTTAACATCCCTGCAGTCTCCTCTTGAGATATTTGTTTTGACAATCGATGATACACCTGCCCCTGTAGTTTAATTATATAAATAGTAACTGTCTTTTAACCCTCCTTAACATTAAATGTTAACTCCTCTAATGCTATATATATATATATATATATATATATATATATATATATATATATATATATATATATATATATATATATATATATATATATATATATATATATATATATATATATATATATATATATATATATATATATATATATATTAGTGCTGTCAAAATTATCGCGTTATTATCGCGTTAACGCGAGGCCATTTTAACGGCGATAATTTTTTTAACGTGAGAAAAACACTATGTGGTTTTATGGTACAATTTTCCAAGTACATCCCGCTGCAGCCTGCGAGAAGGCGGGGCTATTTTCCCCCAGTGTATGCATTTTCCATAGGCTTCGAGAGCGGAGAGCTCCTCAAGGAAAAAAGACGCTCATACACTGGGTGACGCTAGTGCCTTTTCTTTAAGCCCCACCACCAACAAACAAGTTGAGTGTCTGGTAACTAGTAGCAACCTGAAATACGCTGAGAAAACAGATTAGGCTACTGAGGTGAAATGGAATCTGCTACGGCACTTGCTGTCTGTGTACGCCACAGGTCGGTATCGTGTGTGTGTGGGTGGGTGGGTGTGTGTGTGTGTGTTCTCATTTTTGTTAAGAGGCTGAAAAGTAACTTTCTAGAGCATAGACTACCTCCATCTAGTGATGTCGGTCTATTGATTTTGATGTATTGATTGAAAATTGTTCATTATTATCTTGGTTAATTAACATCTAATGTTAACTGTACTACATTTTATAGCAGTAGGGTAAAATGCTTGTCTTTGTTCAAAAGACTGTATTAACTGTAAAGACTGTCTTTTACATCAGCCTGTTTTCAGGGCCTTTTTTTGGCTACATATTTGTTATTTTTTGCTACATGCCTCCCCATCTTCTTGCCATATGTTTCTATGGCATAAATCAGTATCTGTGACCTGTTTTCATTTTAAAAAAGAACATTGGCACAAACCTAGCCTGTATGTATTTTTTGCATGTCATCGAGAGTATTTAAATGATTTTCAATCAGGAAAAAAAATTGCGATTAAAATGCGATTAATCGCGAGTTAACTCAGGCATTGATGCGATTAATCGCGATTAAAAAATTTTAATCGATTGACAACACTAATATATATATATATATATATATAAAGCTAATGAATTTACTACTTATAGCCTACTTGAGTGAGCAACAGCTTACCAGCTGTAAGCTCAAACATCTGGTGTAAAATACACCCCTCTATGACCTGCTGAGGACCAGCGAGACTGGATAAGAGAACTGATTGATGGTTTTTCATGAATGACATCACTGTTAAAGAAAATATCTAATAAATAAAAAAAAAAACTCCCTAAAAATAGATTTAGTGAAATTGATGAGGAAACATGTGCTTGCCGTTCATGTTAGCTCCAACTGGCTTCTATCTGATTCTAGAGGAATTCACTGGAATATTAGATTTATCACTGTTCACAATCAGATACACTTGTAGGAAATATTTATTTTTTTTCTGTCTGCATTTGGCAAAAGCTTCAGCAGCAGTTTCACAAACTCCAGAAGATCCACTTGGCAAAAATGAGTCTCCTGGGTTGTCTTACATTTACACCCTTTTCCCACCTGGAATTGACGTCTGTTCTTGTTCGAGTGAATGGAGGTGCAAGTTCACTCACTGCAAACATAAGACATGCATTTAGCACTAAGGTGCAAATGTGTTCCTACTCCAGCAAAACAAGAAACCACTTGTTTTTGCATACTCTCTGGAGGACTAATTCAACTTTAGAGCACTTTCGCTTCAAATCAAGTTGCATGATGTCACAAGGCTTAATATAGCAGTCATTTAATTCTCTATTTCTGCTTTCTCTCCCCAGGCTTTAGACTATGAAACACGGACTAGCTACACTTTTACCGTCAAGTTGGAGGAAGTGCTGCACTCCCTTCCCGCAGACAATGTTAACGAAGCAATCACATCAGCACAGGTAATTCCTTCACGATCTATCACAAAGAGTTGTGGTATTAAATTGTTTTTTTTAGATAAAAGTTTAGGTTGAGCTAACAATCATTGAGGCTGTAACATAAACACCCATCTGTTAGAGGACATTGTAGAGCACAATGAAAAGAGCACAATGTAGAGCAGCAACAATCCCTTAAATGCTCTTAGATGTAGACAGTACTGTAAAAAGTCCTAAACGACTCTAAATTTCTTTTATGTTTCTTTCCAGCCCGACCAGACTTTTTCTTTTTTATTAAATCATTTGATCAATAGTTATTTAAAAACTAAAACATAAAGCGATTTTTGCACAGTGCAGTAATGTGTGTGGTTCCTCCATATGAAAAAGGGAAGAACGAAAATAAAGTGTAAAAACCTGTTTGAATTTGCAGCCTTTTGATCTTTTTTTTTTTTTTTTTTTTTTTTTTTTATCTAAAAGGTTAAAATTATATTGTTATTTTCTGAGCATTTTAATCCCAACAATTTATTGGATTTACAAAATCAAAACTAGAGTTTTAGTTAAAATAAATACTTGTTTGCCTTCTTTTTAATGACCAACATAAAAACATTAAAAATTGACATTTTCGCTTTCTTTTTGTCAGAAAACTCACAATATTTAAAAACCCACAATGTTGTCACTAAATATTTTGTCGAATAAGCAAAAAAAAAAAAAAATCATAAAAGTTGAAATAAGTTTGATTTTAATTTTGAATTAACTTATTTGTTTATTTGTGATACAGTAGCCATTTTCTGGTATTTTTTTATAGAATTTTTTGTTCATTAGTCAAGTACAGAAATATCACACTGATGATATGAAGGTCTCAAAAACTCATGCTTCCAACACAATACACTTCATCAGCATCAGTGGGATTTTTTTTTATTCTTGATAAACTTGAATTATACAGTGATTAATAAATTGTACAACGATTCTTAATATATCACAAATGATTCAAATAATATTTCTAAAGTAGCTCATTCAATATGGATGCTGATATTTAGTATTTTGTCAGAATGTTCAATGACAACTCTAGTAAAAAACAATATATATATAAAAAAATATATATATATAAAAAAAATATATATATATATATATACTAAAAAAACATCTTATGGTTTGGTCACAATTGGGTGGAGGGTCTTGAGGACCCAAATGCAGAGATCAGGAGGCAGAGGTGAGACTTGAAGATTTAATAAGTTAACTGAGGCAAAAATCCAAAGAACAAAATACAAGAAACCAAAAAACAAGAAAACTTCAGGGGAAAACTCACATGGGGAGCCAGAGATGAGGAAAAAGCAACAACAACAACAAGGACCCAGCACTGAGGAGCTGCATAGGGAGAGTATACAGGTGCTGGTCATAAAATTAGAATATCATGAAAAAGTAGATTGATTTCAGTAATTCCATTTAAAAAGTGAAACTTGTATATTATATTCATACATTACATACAAACTCATATATTTCAGATGTTTATTTTGTTTAATTTTGATGATTACAAATGACAACAAATGAAAATCTCAAATTCATCATATCAGAAAATTAGAATATTGTGAAAAGGTTCAAAATTGATGGCCCCTGGTGCCACACTCTAATCAGCTAATTAACTCAAACCACCTGCAAAAGCCTTTAAATGGTCTTTCAGTCTAGTTCTATAGGCTACACAATCATGGGGAAGACTGCTGACTTGACAGTTGTCCAAAAGACGACCATCGACACCTTGCACAAGGAGGGCAAGACACAAAAGGTCATCGCTAAAGAGGCTGGCTGTTCACAGAGCTCAGTGTCCAAGCACATTAATAGAGAGGCGAAGGGAAGGAAAAGATGTGGTCGAAAAAAGTGTACCATGTCATCTGCTGGTGTTGGTCCATTGTGTTTTCTGAGGTCCAGGGTCAACGCAGCCACATACCAGGAAGTTTTAGAGCACTTCATGCTTCCTGCAGCTGACCAACTTTTTGGAGATGCAGATTTCATTTTCCAACAGGACTTGGCACCTGCACACAGTGCCAAAGCTACCAGTACCTGGTTGAAGGACCATGGTATCCCTGTTCTTAATTGGCCAGCAAACTCTCCTGACCTTAACCCCATAGAAAATCTATGGGGTATTGTGAAGAAGAAGATGCAATACACCAGACCCAACAATTCAGAAGAGCTAAAAGCCACTATTAGAGCAACCTGGGCTATCATAACACCTGAGCAGTGCCACAGACTGATCGACTCCATGCCACGCCGCATTGCTGCAGTAATACAGGCCAAAGGAGGCCCAACTAAATACTGAGTGCTGTACATGCTCATACTTTTCATGTTCATACTTTTCAGTTGGCCAACATTTCTATAAATCCTTTGTTTTTATTGGTCTTCAGTAATATTCTAATTTTCTGATATGATGAATTTGAGATTTTCATTTGTTGTCATTTGTAATCATCAAAATAAACATCTGAAATATATGAGTTTGTATGTAATGTATGAATATAATATACAAGTTTCACTTTTTAAATGGAATTACTGAAATCAATCTACTTTTTCATGATATTCTAATTTTATGACCAGCACCTGTATATGAGTGACAGAACAAGACTGGAGTAATGAGCTGATTGGGAGCAGGTGTGGATGGAAGTGTCTAGAAGGAAGCCAAAGGGGAAAGGAAGCAAACACAAGGGGGAACAGAGAGTGAATCAAGATATACAAAAGCACTCAAAAATATGACCAAAAACAACTAGAATAACACAAAATGGAAAAGAACCCAATAAACTAGAAAACACAGAAAGACAAGAAAAAAAAGTATAACTGAAAATTAAAAAAGAAAATTTAAACAGAACCAAAAAGTGCAGAGTCATGACAGGTTTGGGTTTAAGTGTCCAGTTTAGATGCCAAAAGAGAACAAAGAGGCCTCCAATATTAGGTATATATCTATTGCAAAACAAAAGGCAAACCCAAATTTAGCAGCAGTTTAATACATATGAGAGCCTAAAGTGGGGACTTTTTAAACTGCAAATTTGTCGAACCTCAAAATGTACGATCATCAACAAGTAGGAAAGTAGCTTTATAACCGCAGACTATGTGAACCTTAAACAAATTATTTGAATCCTTGATGCAAGTCAGCTCAGTTTTTTTATAACTGTTACAACGAATCTCCTCCAGGTTACTATCAGGGTGATGGATGTCGACGAGCCGCCAATTTTCAACTCTTACAACTATAGCTTCAGTGTCTACGAGGAGCAGCTAGAGAGCACATTATTAGGAAAAATCCAGGCCAGAGACCCCGACAGAGCCAACAAGCGCATAGAGTATGGTTCTACACACTCCCTAACATAACTAATAGGTCTCCAGCTGTCGTCCAGCTGTGCAGCCTGATTGTTTGGCTGATCTCTCTCCCTCATTGTTTAGGTACTCCATTCCAGAGACAGGCTTACCCTTCAGCATCCACCCATTCAGCGGTGAGTTATCCCTTCTGAGAAAGCTGGACAGAGAGACGAAGAAAGAACACACGTTTGCAGTTAAGGCGCAGGAACAGAACAGCGGTATGTCACACACCCACATCAACACTGCTTGGCTTTATTAATGCTGTTGCTCTGGAACAATAGATATTCACTAAAAGAGATGGAAACCATGTGTTTTTCTTTTTTAAACAATGGTTATCTGATGCTGTAAAAGAAGAAGGGCCAAATAGGACAGTTTGTTCTGGTATTTTGTTCTGTTCAGTTAAAGTCTGAGAGTCTAAAACATTAGCAGAATTTTTTTTATTTTTTATAAATTGAACACATTTGCTGTAACACCTGCTCTGGAAACAGCGACTAAGCAGAAAAATCATATTAGCGAGTCCTTTTGTTCCACTTGCAGCTTTCAAGCCCAAGCCTATATTTTTAGACAAGCAATAAATGAAATCCATAGATCTATTTTAGCTGCTTGTCACAACGTTTAGGGAGCACAACGCTCCCCTGAGCTCCACAAGGTCCTCATATATACCACTTGTTCTGTGCTTAAGATATTTTTGAAATATCAGTGGAAGACACAGAAAAAAACCTATCAAAAGAGAGGAATTCAAAAGATGCACGTAGAAGATGCTTTAATGCGAACAACACAAACAAATTAAAATACCTGTCAAACACAGAGCTCACAAATAGAAAACTTTATGTCACTTGACCTTCCGTCAGTGACGCAAATTACTCATAGCTAATTATAATCATTGCTAACCACTGCCAGAACTGTCCATTAAAGTACATAATAAATACGTTCTGTGTGATCAGCAGTCTGAGCCCGAAGAGAAAATCAAATATGTATGAGCAGAAAATCTTCAAATAGATTAGGGAACTTGGCAAAAACTTCATAGGCTGTCTAAGTGACAATTAATTTTTTAGGTGAGTATTCAATATTGTAAAACACCCTGTAGATTAGGCACTTTAAGAAGTTTAATGAGAAATAAGGACGAGGGTACGGTTTTAGGTGTAGTCAATTTGTCTGAGAGCCCATATGCCAAAGCTTTGACCTCGTTCCTTTGAAGGAGGTAAGGTTTTTTGCATAAAGTGACCAACATTACTAACATGTTAAGCTATTATCTCTACGTTTCTCTGACTTAAAAGTTCTAGAATATAGATTTTTTTTTTTACACCCTGATAATTTTTACCTCATTTCTGTAGATTATAGACACTACGGGTGTTAACTTCAAAGAACTGGCGATACGATATGTACCGCAATACACGTCTAATGATATGATTTATCCCTATTTTATCCCTGGGAAAAATAAGAAAGATGATATTTTTTGGTTATTAATATAACATTGCTCTGGAAAATCTTATGAGATCTTGTTTTTCTGCAGGGAATGGTGCTCCAAAGTTGGATAATAAGCTCTAGTTATTTATGTGGTGAATAGAAAGGTTAGAGTCAAGGTGTGCTCTGATAAGTTTTTTTTATATCCCTGTCCTATCTAGCACCCTCATCAGGTTTGAGCAGAGGTCACTTTTTGATTGACAACACACACATTAATGCAAAATGTTCTCACCAATCAATCCAAACACTTAATTGGGCATCTCTAGTTGCTACTATGGCTGCAGGAACCGAAGTCAAAAGATGCAATTTACAGGGACAATTCAGTTTAATCATCCAAATACTTGGTTAAACGCTTTCTATCTAAGAAAAGTCAGTTGATTGCATTCAGTCATTGTTTTTGCATGATACGATGCTCCAAGACGAGCATGTGGCAAAAGTAGACGTTTGCTTGCATTGTGTTCTTGACTCTACTGATCACCCTCAAATCAAGCATGCATACAGTGACAGTGGAGAACATGAATAAACCTCCAGCAGAACCAGGCTCAGTATGAGAGGCCTTTTGCCTAGGGCAACTTTGGGTTCAAGGAGACAGAAGCAGACGCTAGCTAGCCTGTTTTGCATTTCAAAAGGATGAAAAAGAGCACCAACAGTTAACCATATTAAAAGGTGAACCTATAGCTATTTGTAGAAGAGGAACAGGACTAAGAACTGAAAATAGGCCCAACTTCACCTTCTGTAATGCAAGTTGATTGATCAGCCCTGCTGATGACTACTTCTAAGATTTTGTTGAGCGCAAGACCAGACAAACCCACAATGACAAGAAAAAGCAGAGAAAATGTGTTAAACAAAAAAAGTATGCAGGATTGGAGAATTGTAAGAATTAAATAGAAGGATGAAAATTGCTCCCTATGACCTCCAGTAGCTTAACCCTATAGCAGCATAACTAAAGAAATAGCAGGAGAACCTTAGCAACTCTAACTATAAGCATATTTTATGAAAGTTTTAAGCTTAGTCATAAAAGTAGAAAAGGAGTCTGCCTCACAGACTAAAAGAGTTAGTTGGTTCAACAGAAGAGGAGCCTGATAACCTAAATTTGTACCTCTTAATGCTTTATCATATCAGAATAATATGGGAAACTGTCGTGCTCTCAGCCTTGTTAAACCCTGTAGGGCTAGTCTGTTCTTGTCTCAATGTGAATATGCCATCTCCAACACATATTTTTTATAGCACATCTAAAAGCCCTCTATTCACATATTTTGATAATCTTAGTTTATAGGCCTACAGCTGTAAATACCTCATCTAACAGAGTCATAATTTGTCTCTCCTCTATAGATTTGCAGTCACTGGTGAACATTACCATAAATGTTCTGGACATTAACGATAACATGCCTGAACTGATTGTGGATGACATCTACGTGTGTGAGAATGACGTCAAAAACACAGTAAGAAAAGCATATTTTAATCAGCTTTTTTCAATGCTTTAATTTGAGGTTTGCAAAAACATTCAAATCTAGATGACTTATCATCAAACCTTAACATGTTTCATTTCTACTCTTTTGGAAGTATTGTTTTTTGACATAAAATGTTAAACTGAGGTATAATATTTAGCACATTAAAATATATGCTACCTTATCCACTCTTGTGTCTAAAGCTGTTTCAATATGGTTCTTTCATTAATAGTAATGTCCCTTCTCAGGTAATTGGTAGATTGGAAGCCTTAGACAAAGATGATCAACAAGCTACCTTCACTTACAGTCTACTTCCAAACTCCAACTTCTCCCTCAAAGACAACGGTGGTGAGTTTTCGTTCTCTCATAATAATGGACTTGCTTTCTTCTTTCCTTACCTGTGGATTCATTAGAAGGAAAAGAGGACCTCGCAGAGGGGCCCTTACCTTGTTGCTAGGCAACAAGAAAAACTATTTGAGGCCCATTGTTTAGTGTTGATTAGTTGTTACTGAGTGGCTCTGGGGTACTTTTTGTCATTTATCTTTCCTTAATTTTTTATTATTATTATTTTTATTAATTTATGATTAAAACATTTATTTGTTATGTACTTATTAGGTTCATTGCAAAAAATATATATAAAATTCTCCCTGAGAATTTAAATGTAAGAATAACTGAACCCAAATCAATCCAATATACTTATCTTGCTTCGCTCAAGCGTTAAAAAAGCTCCAGACCAACTATTTACAAACAATCAACAGCTCCGTCCGAACGTCCACCCTATATAAGGCACTATGTAGTGATTACACCATTTTAGACGAGTGTCTGAATGTCTAGAGCAGTGTTTCCCAACATTTTAATGTGTGTACCCCTTTGGGTATTTTTTCTTGTCATGAGTACTCCTCTCAGTCAAAAGTATAGATCATTGTCCAAAAGGAGACCGTACAATAACTGATTATATGATAAAAAAAAAAAAAACTATTTAACTTAATCCAATATTTTGAGCATTTAGTTCTTAGGCATCTTATGCTTTTCATCTCAAATAAAAAACAACAACAGCATAAATCCTTTACCTGGAAATGAGTAAGTACTCGAAATAAAAACAAAATAAAACCCTATTATAAATCTGCCTTTATAATACTGGAGCTCCTCTGAGTAACTCCCTTATAATCACATTTAAACTTGATGAATCGGGAACAAAATTATAGTCAGACTGACTTAATTAGTTTTACTTTGTTTTCATCAAGACACCTGAGCTGCTTTGATGAGCTCCAATAGCTCAGTGTACAGCAGTACAGATTCCAGCCCTATTTTTTCTACAACCTAAGAAAAAAAAACTGTAATGTACCCCTTGCAATGCACTCACGGACCACTAAGGGGTTGGTAATCACTGGTCTAGTGGAGGAAAAAGCACACAATGCACCTTGAAAAGTAGTGATCATCTATGGTCACTGGACAAGCAGATACATCCCAGATTGCTTTGCGAGAGCTCTCCTCGCAAAGCATCATGGGATTTGTTGTGGCGGTAACAATCATCAGAGATGGTGCAGGCACCATGCGGTGAGGCAGAGGTACATGTCTAGAATGTTAGCTCAGCTTTTAAAGACGCCACTTGGCAAATTTGAACCACCCACGTCGCAACCGCAGCAGCCCCTTTTCTCTCTTTTTATTCAGTTGATTTTTCAGTCGTGCAAGATAATTTTATGATGTAAGTCCGAAGAGACAAACATTTCCTCCCTACTATCATTTTCTGATTAATTTAATATTTTACTCCAACAGTGCCAGTAAAGCATAGAGCATAGGCTCACTGTAAAAAGTCAAAATATAATCAAATCGTCAATAACTTAAAAAATCTGAATGATTTAAAGTTGGTCTGGACACAAACTAAAAATATGGCATCCATTGACAAACAGAAGGAATATGATATCACAGGTGAAGTTATGAAGTTGGTTGCAGACCATAGCAGTGTCATAAACGTGACAGGAAGCAAAATAAAAATTACAATTTACAATTTAAACTGCAATCCTAATTTATGGATTTAAACAACATCCCAGTTGTTGGAGTGTTTAACAGTACGTATTCTTTCCGGTGCAGGTGGATCACAACTTAATCTATAAGGACTATAAAATCATTTATTTATGATGCATTTTTTTAAACCCAAAACCTCAGTTTCCTACAAAATATCATATTCTTCACACACATATTACACGTGATGGTCAGTTGCTAGGCTAGAAATTAGATAATTTCTTCTGACCCGTTTGTTTACGTTTACAGTGTTTTGATCGGGAAACCATGCAGCAAGCTAATCTCTCCAAGCAGCTGTGTTGTGGACCCAGTTTGTCAAAAGTTAATCTATTAGATTGTTTCCCAATTTCATATCTGCCTTTTGTTCAATGGGCTGCATTAACAGTTGGTTCCCTACTGGAGAAGCTATACTTCTCAACCTTTATGATGTTGTTTTTAGAGTACAGTTAGACACATTTCTTGACCTTTCTGCTTAGATATCAAACCACCATGGTGTGGGATACCCAAACAGTAGCTCCCAGATTTGGGATCTGGTGACAGACCATGTTATACTGATTTACAGAGTATGGAAATGAGTGGGATAGGTTTCCTTCGTTGTTAAATTAATTTGTTGTTCCTCAAAGATGCCAGTCAAAAGCAGATACTATTTTCATACCCAATGAAATGATTTATTGAACTTTGCAGAAATAGAAATATCCATGTAATGCCAACTGACTTTGATTTCTGTGTCACTCGTTCTGGTCATATTCCCAACATGAAAACCACAAGCTGCTGTTGCTGCTTTGGAATCATTGGTGATTCAAACACAATCTTTCTCAGTGAACAATAGATCTGTGAACTTAGATTTGTGACAACAGGTATGTTACAGTACGTTAGATTATTTTTAGGCAGGCATCAATGCAGCCACCTGTCTATAAGAGATATCAACGGTTTCCAGCTTGCATAACAAGTTAATCCCGCCACCAGTTAATCTATCACACCGGCGACCCATAGGGTGTATTTCCATTAAACCTAACAGTACACATGTAAATAACATTGGTTAAACTTTTACCAATAATGATAAATATTATGCATCCTTAGAAAACTTAAATTCTCAATTCAAACCCCAAATTCAGTTTATGGACACCATGAGCAAAAAAGCACAAATAATAAAGATATAGCAGCATGTTGAATCAATAATAATAATAAAAAAAGCTTCTGGTACCCCCCTTTGAAGAGATCTTAAGGCTGTATTATAAATCCAATCTTAGATTGTTTATATTCCATTAGTCCATAACGGTCCACATATTAAAAATAATTCATCATATGTTTCATTAAAAAAATCCCATGCTTAGAAAATGGTGACATAAATTCCATTTTTAGCCATCCTAAAAGTTCATAAGCTGTCTTGCTAATGACCCTAGCTTCGGTTAAGCATGATGACATTAAAAAGCTTCAATCTAAACCACCCCATACTATGTGGAGTCATTTTCCTGCTGAAAATATGAACTTTGCTCCAGTCTCAAGTCTTCACTGCAAAATCTTAAGATAAATTTATTTGCCCTTAATTTAAGTAGGTAAATAAGATGATCTGCCATTGGAATTAGTTTTTTTACTCTTAATAAAAGATAATTAGATATTATGCTCTTGAAATAAGACAATGCAGTGCAAAGACAATATAAAATGTTCTTATTTTAAATGTAAATATAAATTTTTTTCATTGTGAAAGTGTAAATAACCTGCTTAATTAAAAAAAAATGTAAATAAAAAAAAATGACTTACATAGAGTTCTATTTTTTGTCTTGTCATTTATGAACAAAATCATGTAAATTAGTTGTTCAAACCATGCAATCCTGCTTGTTAATCCTAATCTGCTTAAAGTAAGCGTATCTACAACATATCTGCAAAGATCCTTGTTGTTAATTGACCTGTGTGTTTAATTAGGACATTGGAAAGTATTTAGTTGCTTTAGATGTATTTATTGTTAACGGAAATGCTTACCGCTGATATCAAAAAAATATTTTGTACAAAGGCATATTTTTTTTTCTAAAATGCTGCACTCATTAATGTTAGTTTAGCTCATAGAATAAAAAAATACATGCTTTTTTCATTGATATGATTAAAAAGACTATAAAAAAAGTTAATAGATATAAATGCTTCTACAAATTCTTATTATTGTTAATTAGATTTTGTGAAGAGACAATGTCTCTAGAAAAGAGTTGCCAAATGCTCAAAGCCTCTGTTTTTTCTATGAAAGATTCAAGCAAAGTGTTAATATTTAATTTTAGTGAAACTTGATCTGAAAAAAGGGAATAAACAACCCTCATCCATTTCCACTCATCAATTGCCTGGAGGAGTTGACATGTAGCAGTGATGGAGGAAGAGGGAGACGAAGGAAAAGGATAGACATGTGAGGCAAAGGTGGGAGGGGGACGGATGAAAGGAGAACAGAGAGAGGTGTAGATGAGAGGAAGTGTGAGTGAAAAAAGAATTGAAAGAAGGATAAACATCCAAGCTCGAAAAAGGAAGATTAGGATGAAATCATTTCTTATGGTTCCTTAAAAAAAAACAGAAAAAACTGTGAATTTAAAAAAAGTAATTCTAATGAAAAATAAGCAACAGAGTGTTATGCTGGATCTGAAAAGGGAAAAACAAAGTACAAATGAAGGAATAAATTGGAACGTGGGTGTGAGGGCTTGGATGAGAAGAATAAAGAAGTAACGACATGAAAGAAGAAATGGCTCCAAGGCAAAGAGTGCATGAAAAGGGAATCAAATCAAAATGTCAACTGTTGAAGAGAGAGGTGGAAAAAGATGAAAGGTACAACAAAGAAATGAAAAAAGACGCAGAAAAGAAGCGGATAGTTAACTTATAACTGTTGCCTGTCAGTGTGAATTGCTGGACTATACACTTCTTAAAAAAAACAAAAAAAAACATCTGTCTTTGCAATGCAATGCAACACACAAACTGATTAGAACACACACCCAGACACAGCAAGACCTGCAAAGTGAAAGCTTGTAAATTATTTATCTTCTTCCACCTCTTTAAAACTGGTAAAAAAAAAAAAAAGAAAAACAATCTTCAGTACCAGAAAGAGGCAATGTAGCTGCACGGTGAAATTACACAACTGTGTTTTGTGTGCAGGCAGCTACATGAAGCTTGCCACATTAATACCAGAGAGGCAGGGTAAGAGGGACAAACAAAGAAAAAAGAAAAGCAGCGTAATGAGTTAGAGCCAAATAAATCTCCAGAGGGCAGTGAGGAATATCCCAAAATCCACAGAGATGGGTTTAAGAAAGAACATCACACAGAGAGCGACAAAGTGGCGACAGCAGAGAGTGGGATGAAGGGCTGATAGACACTGTTCTAATCTTTTATTCTACTGGTTAAAGAAAATGTTGCCTTTGACAGAAAAAACAAATAGTTTAAGTGTTAATGTGTCTTGTCTTTACATGGAACTCCGTGACTTCCCGATCTGCTGGAGGGAAACTGTTTAATTTATCGGAAGTGCCATGTTGCCAGTTCCCTTTAGGGTTGCTGAACCTAAAGGTTACAAATTTAGCACGCCTGGGACTCAAAGAACCACAACATTGCTTTAATTTGGTAGACCTTCATAAGGATGATTAATCTTGTTGCAAGTATACTTTAAAGCAGAATTGATCTTCTGCATTTAATCTTTTTGTTGAGGAGTATTGGGCAAGTTTGCAGCCAAGGATCTTTCCAAGAGTGGGGGTCTGCAGGGGTTGATTCTGTATTTGCAGCCGTTTTCAGAATAACAGCTCTAACCAGTCGGTTACCACCCTCACTAGTAACTGCACCGTGTCTAGCTTTGATTTAAACTTGCCCTTAAAGCGCAGCGGCTGAATCTAAATGGAGAGTTTAAGGGTTCTTTCCTGCCATTGTGTTCCCTGAAATTCCTATAATGGTGGTATATTGTGGAGGCATCTCCTTATTGGCTCAGGAGGAAACTTCTGTCTTCAAGCAACTTGACTAATGACTCTATTGTGACTCCTGCTTGTAGAAAACACACCCCATTCTACCTACTCCAAGTCATGACTTTTTATAGCGCCGTTTTTATTTTTTCTTTCCAACCCTGTTCTGCCCAGAATACAAACTGCATTATTCATTTAACTGAGTCATGTGTAGAAAACCAGCAAAGAAAAAAATTGAGTTATAAAACAAATTTGAAATATTTTGCAAAGGAGAGAACAAGCAAGTGTTACGTTTTCTTACTCTGTTCATTACTTATTTTGCAGACGGAACATCCAATTTACTGGTGAAAAAAGGACCTTTCAACCTGGAGGACTCCAGTGATTACAGTGTGGAGGTGCGCGTCAGTGACGGAGGTCAGCCTCCGTTGAGCAGCGTCACCAAAGTGCAGATAAAGGTCTGTCTATGCTTTTGATTGGAAAATGTGTTGTTTAAACATTTTCTTTAGTCAAACGTTTCAATTTTAACCGAATTAACTGAATGCTTCCTGGTTTCTTTGTTGCAGTCATGCCAGTGTGATGCTAATCGAGTTTATTCAAAGTGCAAGGCCAGTAAACTGAGGATGGGAGTCAGTGTCCATGCCCTGATAGCAATACTTCTTTGCATACTGACCATTCTGGGTAAGTTACCTTTAACATTGCTATGTTCATGCAGTAGCTATTTTCTCCTTCGCATAATATTTGCATTTCTCTTATCAGCACTCTCTCCAAGTCATGTTCTGATAGATATTAATATCAGCCACAAAAACAAATACCTGAACACATAAGCCAGCACAGAAGATCTCTGATCTAATTATGCCAATAGAAACACACTGTCTCCATCCACTGATGATTACAGTTTATGGAATACTTGGTTAATAATACTGTTTTTATACCAGTTATTGTTCACTGCTGCGCTCTGCTTGAGTAAGATCACATGATCAAGCTATTTTTTTTTTTTACATTCCACAATCCACAATCGGTAATGAAACAAACAATGATTTGTAAATCTGATCTATGTTGATTGTACAAAAAAAAATACATTATTGGTATCCGTATTGCTGTATTGGTATATTGCCCTTACTGCTAATAGCAAATGGAAAGACATCCCTAATTTGTATCTATGTTTCAGAATCTACATTTTAATTTAATAATAGGATGTTTTGAGGTTTTAAATAGAATTGGACTAGGAAATATCTGCAAAAAGCGTCAAGTAGGAGTCAGTTTCTGTCAGCCTCATTCTTAGATATCTCCTTAACCCAGTTAATGTCTTTTTTCTTAAGTTTAGCTTAGTTTAGCCAAATGTCTAGTCATACAAAATAAGGAGAGAAACAGATGAGTCGAGTGTTTCAAAAAAAAAATTGGGCAGTGATGTTTAATAATTTAAAGGAATCCAAAATATTTGTTCACAGTGAGCGTAAATAAAACTATGCACACATTATATGTCTGCAGTATTCCAAATATAATTGAATAAATACCTTGTATGTGAAGATGAAGCATAATTACTAGCAGCATGCTTTTATGTTACTGTATATGTTTGATAATGATTTCAATATTAAAACTTTTTGTTTCTCAAAAACCAAGTTTTTCATTTGGCATAAATATTAGCCTTGGATATAGATACATGGTGTAAAGGTTTTACTGAAGTAAAAAAAATAATATATGTAGATAGATAGATAGATAGATAGATAGATAGATAGATAGATAGATAGATAGATAGATAGATAGATAGATAGATAGATAGATAGATAGATAGATAGATAGATAGATAGATAGATAGATAGATAGATAGATAGATAGATAGATAGATAGATAGATAGATAGATAGATAGATAGATAGATAGATAGATAGATAGATAGATAGATAGATAGATAGATAGATAGATCGATCGATCAAGATTATCATCTGCATAAGAAGAAGAAGTTTGGAAACACCAAACAGTTCATATCTAGAAATGTTTTACATTTTCAAAAATTAGTTTTTGTCAGCTAATTTTACCAGAAATATTTCACTTTCCACAATGACAAGCTTCTTTCCTGATAACTAAGCTACCAGGTGCTTTTACGGCATCAAACAGCCTCAGACAAATTGTTCTGTAGTTCTCAAAAAATATTTTTAAAGCAGCAGAAGTGACTGATGTGCTACAGCATGATTGACAGATGTGTACATAATCAATAAATGATATGGATTTTGTCTTAGGAAAACCCCTATGTTGATGGTTTAATGAATAATGCAGCAACAGATGCAGAAATAATGCCTTGGGTTGTGAGTTCAGGATTCTCTTTGATACCTTCACCCCTGTTTCTTTTTTCTGCCTGGAGAAAAAGAGACACTTGTCATGTCAGATCAGAGGCCCAATGGAGATAGTTGGCCAAACATAAGGGATCTGGGATGAGGAGAGCGAAAGATGGAAGGAAAAGAGACAGGGAAGTTGAAAAAGGATGGAGGCAGGGAGGAACGTAGAAGAAAAACATCTACAGTGACATGGATATGGGGAACCGTAGATGGTTGAAAGACATGCTACAGGCAGACTGGCGCAGAGATTTGAGGTGTGATCAGTCCTGCTAAGTGACAGAAAGAGAAGGGGGGTTTGGAATAAGTCAGACAGGGGGACTGTGGGAAAAGTAGTGAAAGAATAGGAATGGTAATAAAGAGCGTTTATCAGTTCTTTAGGTGCCGTCTGCTTATCAAACACTACCAAATACCCAACCTATTAACTATTAATACACTCCCTCACTATCATCCCTTTCCTCTTTCATTTTTCTTCATCTCTCTCTTCCTTTGTCCCTCAGGGTGAGTCTGTCTCTCCCTTTCCCCACCACTTTCCCCATTTTTGTCTTTCTCTCTCGTTATCAAACACCCCAAAAGCAACTATGATTAACTATTTAATGTCCTTGTCATTATCTGTCTGGGCACATAGCAATTTTCCATTCACTTGCACATTTTCTCACATAAAGTCAGGTTTGACACCCAGAGATTTTTTTTCTCAGTCGTCTTTTTTTTTCCATCACTCTTTCTTCTTCCGTCCCTCTAAGTCTGATATCTGCAGAGCTTATTAAACGGAGGAGCATGTGTTGTAAAAGATTAATCGGTTGGTTTCCCATGCAAACTTAAATCAGTCCCGCTCACCCTCAACTAAGAGGCATTGCTAATGCCCGCCGTCCGCTGAGAGAGTTAGATGTTCGTATCGGGTTTAAGGCCTGGGGCCCAATCAAATGTCACATTTTCCCTCCCTTTGCTTCTTTTCTCCTCATCTGTACTTGTGCTTCAGCTCCTCACCCCTCAGTCTCAGATTTTTCACTCTGCCTTCTTTCTTCAATCAGCAGCTGCTTGCCATATTTGCCCCTCCTTTCCTTTTGTTTTTCTTCTCTTCCTTCCTCTGGCGTCCTCAGTTTTACTCTCCACGGACACAATGAAAAACAGGTCACAAGCGAGAAAAATTAATGGAGTTTTATGTTGAAAATTAACTTGTTGAACTTAGCTTCAGATATTGTGAAATTATACATATTTTTTGCTTTTCTGATTTACATTTGTAGAAAGTCTCCACTTAGATCTTCCACAATTTTGGATCCTTTTTTTTTTATATATATCTCTTCTGAACACCTCTACCTACCGGTTGTATATTTATAGGAAATAGGTCATAGTAGAAGGCTGAGTTTGTATCTGAGGAACCATTTCCATGCTGACTTTTGCTGAAAGAACTGTTTCCAGTTTTCTGGTAGTCCTGCTGTTTTAAAGGAGAGTCAAATCCTCAGCATCACAGATCATCTGCTATGAAGAATACATAAAATGCAAACCTATCTGTTGTTTTTGTATAGAGAGAATTTTACCCAAATGTGACTTAATAATACAGAATAATTTTAGAATTGCTATTTAAACCAGTTTTAATAAAAAAAAGGACATTTCCCCCACATTAAAACATAACCAAAAGCACATAAATGACATAAAGTGGTGCAGGAGAGGGCTTGGGAGCTGGTTTTAAATGTGATGATGTTTTCTTTAGCAATTTTATTTTATTTTTTGCTTTTTTTGTATAAATTATCTCTGATCTATCTTAGCCTTCGTGCCTCTTTTCTCTCTTTAATTTTATTTACTCCTATATATGTTTTTTCTTTATCCAATATTCACAGTTTTTTTACTAAAAGCAAATCCTTCTATTTTCAGTAACTGTTACTGTAGCTTTAGATCCAGGCAATTTGTTTATAGCTTTTTTTCTGGGGTAAAAAAAAATCTCCTCTAGTATAAAAGCTTAAACACATTCTTGTGTTTAAACTTAAATCTTTGCTTAAATCTTATACTTGTTTAATTGCAGTAGTCCACATTGCCATCTTTGTAAGATTTTGTATGCTTTGATAGATTTTGAAACATTAAACAGGTCAGATCCAGCAATGTTTTAGATTTTCAGAATTTATTTTAATCAGCTAATAATAGTATTTCACTCTGAATAATATATAATTTTTTGTTTTGTTTTTTTCCCTCATATTAAAACCCCTCAACCACCTTAAGCTACCATGTGCCTTAAAGGCATCCAACAGCCTCTGAGCAATTCTTCTGTTGTTCCCAAAAAAGCGCATTAAAGCGGCAGAAGTGGCTGCTGTGCTACAAAAACATGCAGCATTGGCACATGTATGACCAATCAATTAATTATTTGGATTTTTGCAATAGGAACCCAACTAAAAAAAGGAATGACTGCATGGTTACACGGGATGCTGGCTCATGTATGATCGCATAAAGTAGTGCAGGAAACAGTTTATGACCTGATTTCAAATGCAAAGTTCTTTTTTGTGTGTGTGTTTTGTGTGTGTTTGTGTCTTTAGCAACTTTTCTTTGTTTATTTGCTTTTTTTTGCTTTTTAACGTAAACTATGTGCCACTTATCTTTATGGTCTTGCTTCCTTTTCTGTGCCTTACCCTTTGTGACCCCTTTTTTCTCATTTTATCTGTTTATTCCTTCATTTGTTTTTTTAAAATCTTTTATCTTTGCTTGGTCTGACTCATCCTCTTCCACCTTCTTTTCTCTTACTCATTTCCACTTCCTTTCTTGTGTTTACCGAGCACGTTTTCCTGTTTCTTGTACTCCCATCTCTTCTTGCGCTTTGTGACGAGATTGTTTCTACTGGAGTCTGGCTGAGTTTGTTCCTTTCAAGTTTCCTTGACTGAGCTGAATCTTTCCCTCTGCTTGTTTTCTAATGTTTTCCTCTTGCTGGTGCTCCACTTGTTTCAAGGCCTAGTTCTTAGTTTTGGTTTTCTAATGATCTCATTTTTAATTCTCTGTGGTGCTAAAATCGTCAACATAATTGCAGTCTTGGTGTGTTTTTGGTGCTCTGTACTCTGTATATCTTCAAATACCACGAGTCCTTACATACGTTTTCAATCAGTTGAACTTCCTCAGATGCCCCAAATACATTATTAACATTTATTTCCTGTTTTAGATGTTAACTTTAGTTACTTGAACATATTCCTAATCTATATTCTATAAATTATATAGGACATTCTTGTTATGACCTTAAAAGCCCTCTAGCAAATAAATCCATTAACATTGTTTTCTTTATTTCCTTTTCGCTCTGTATAGTAATAGTGATCCTGTTTGTGATGAGGAAACACTATCAGAAGGATTCTCTCGCCAGTTTGAAGAACATCGGTGAAATCCATGAGCAGCTGGTCACATATGATGAGGAAGGAGGGGGAGAGATGGACACCAATGGGTATGTTAAAAAAAACAAACACATTTGACCTAAATTGATTCATGAGAGGACAAAATATAATTTTTTTTTAGTCTGGTAAATGAAAAATCTACATTCTCCTATCTTTATTTTCCTTCTATGTGATTCCTTTAAAAAAATAGGGAAAATTTAATCAGCACAACAAAGAAGTAAGCTTCATCACAATTATTATTTTCAGTGAGTTAAAATATGATTTAAGTGGTGGTATCAGAACAGCGAAAGTGGCTATGAAAATTGATCTGAATAAAAACAAAAAATCTAGGTTTGATTTATATTGACTCCAGTAAGGTATTTATTGCAATATCCGAGCCTAGCATGCAAGACTTGTTAAGATGGCATCAATCAGGAAAGCAGCGGGTTATCAAAGACCAGAGCAACAGGGTCCACACACCCAATCAGTTAAAAATGGATGTGATGCAAAAAAGTGTTTTTTTCTAAAAAGAGAAACAGTTAGAGTGGCCTCATGCAAATCTCATGTAAGACATGATTACAGGCATCATTGAAATATCGCTCCTTTTGGGATGCCATTTGGATTGTTATGGTTAAAAATGTTATTATTAAAATGGCGGCCCTAAAGTGAAGTGTTGTAAACTGTGAGTGGTCTAAAAAGTTAAGGTGAGGAAATGCAGCTATTTCAAACAGGTTTAAATCCTCATCTTGTCATTCAGGAGGCAGTCATTTCATTTTCAAGAGTTTTTTTGTTTTTTACCATCTGTTAAACGTGGTGCTATTCATCATAAGATGTCTATTTTTATGTTTATGATTGGGAAAATTTGCAAGAAGGAGCTGTTTCTGGTCCAGCATGTCTTTTATGCTCGGAGTTGTCTGCATATTTACAAATTTTCCTTGCTGTACTGTCGAAAAACTGGCCGGGTGGACCTAAAGACGCGTCAAGAATTAAACCAGACTTTAGTCAGTCTGGCTTACAAGTCTACCAGCAGCAATCCTTCAACCCAAAGATAGAAGCACTAAGATAGTCATAGGCCAAATATGACAGAATTAGACAAATTAATGTGAAAATACAGATATCTCCACAATAATGTAAAAAAAAACAATCCTACTGGCATAATTTATACAGTTTATCTGCAGAAATCCCCCCCAAAGAACCTTTGATTTAGGGTTCAGCTACTCTTTAAGCTCATTTAATGTTTTCTTTTGTGTTTTCAGCTACGATGTCTCAATCCTCACTTCGGCGTGTAACGATGGATCCCTTCTCCGCCATCCTGACCGTTTCTCACACCCTTCCATGTATGCCATGGTCCAGAAACCACCTCACCACTCTCAGCCCACCGCATGCAAAGGCGACATGGCGGCAATGATTGAGATGAAAAAAGACGAAGCTGACCACGACAGAGACGGATTCCCATACGACACTCTCCACATCTATGGCTATGAGGGACCTGAATCTTTAGCGGGAAGCCTTAGTTCTCTGGAAAGCTCCTCTTCTGGTTCAAACTTGGATTACGACTTTCTCAATGATTGGGGGCCGAGGTTCAAGGCCCTGGCCGAGCTGTATGGCGTGGATGGTGCTGACTACTACCATCAATACTGAGAATAAATGCAGAGTTCCCTAATGTGCATCTGAAAAGTGTACATCTTGTACATTGGTGATCAAAAAGAGCCATAAAAAAAAACAACAAACATGCAGGAAACATGCACATTTAACCTACAGTACACAGATAGCCCAACTGTCCACAAGAGACTCTTCAAAACACAGCTGGGGATCCTTTTCGAGAAAGGTTACCTTTAGTTAACATGTGTATATCAGTGGATGCATTTGTGTTTTGTGTCTCTTTTGTGTCTCATTCACTCTAATCACTAAACAAGTCATCAATGTCCAGGAGCCTCCTGTGAGCTGAATGAAGTTGTCATCAGCATATATAGATGTTTTTCAGATTTTGGTTCTTCGTAATCCAACATAGGAACAACCCACAGACATAATATTAAAAGTACAGCACAGACTGGGTAAAAGCTGCAAAGTTAACCCTTCTACTTCACCTGCAAATAGTTAACAGATAAAAAGCAGATGAATGTAGCCAACCAGAAGGTAGCATGTTAGGAGAAAAATAATTATACCGATATGTTTGACTAATTCTTTATTTTTTTTATAACACTTGAGCATAGAAAACAAATAACAGGTCAAACTTTTTTATTTGGATGTTCCTGGTTTGCTCCTCTGATATTAGATAGTGGATCTTGCTCAGTTAGCAAGGCTGTGGTTAGATCACTTAAAGGATGAATTTACTGACATAACTTCTGGTAAAAGGTTAAATGCATCCAATTTAACCTCCATCAGGAAACTATCTTGTAATCTTCAATTAGTATAAATTCCTTTTAGTTGGAGTTGATGAAAGCTAACGGCTATTCCAAGAGGGGTGCAGAACCAAAGAAAGCTACGTACCCTTCTAAAGAAACTCAAATATAAAACAAAGACATGTGCATGATGAAATGAACCTTTAAAACTTTTAATCATTTGGACTAAAGCCAATATGAAAATGTGTGCTACAGTAGAAATAGACTTCGTACAAGAAATTTACTTTAAAAAAGGGTACATGTAAACTTTGACTGTACAGAGTATAGCAAAATGACTGCAGCAATGGATATGGTCAGCGTTTTGGGGGTTTTTGTGCACTGCTTTACTACCGAGCCTGCAGTCTGCTGCTTGCAGCTTTTAGCTTGACAATCATGATTTGTAAAACACCATAACTTTGTTAGGTGGGGTTTGTGGCTAACGTACTTTATTCCCCAAAGAGCAAAAGAAAGCTCTCGTCAAAATGCGACTTTTTATTTAATTATCAGACTTTGGGCAGCATGAAGGTTATAGAAATGTTTAGGGGTTTAAAAATACTTAATTTTGCTTGATTTACCTTAAAACCAGAAACCAGTCCATGCCAAACTCAATTCCGTTTATTTATGCAGCGCCAATCCACAACACATGTCACCTCATGGCACTTTATAGTTCACCAGATCAGCCAGTCAAATGATTCAAAGTTTTCTATCTAGGGAAAACCAGCTGATTGCATTGACTCCAATGCAATCCTTCACACTAAGCATGCTTGTAGCGACAGTGGAGAGGAAAAACTCCCTTTTAACAGGAAGAAACCTCCAGCAGAACCAGGCTCAGTGTGAGCGGCCATCTGCCGAGGCCGACTGGGGTTCAAGGAGACAGAAGCAGAGACACAAAAAGCAGCTGTAAAAGGCGGCTTGATCCAGGAAACTAACAGCCAGGCAGAGGAGCTCCGAACCAGATCCCATGTCAGAGGATAAAGAGAGCACATCCAGCCAGTCACAGTCAGAGAAACAGGACTACACTGAAAAACAAGCCAATCTCCAACATCTATAAACAAAGGTGTTGATGGCAGTAGCAGAGATGATATTTCTCTCCAGGATGGAGTCACAGCCAAACAGGATCAGACGAGGCGAAGCTACTATGAGAAAAAGCAGAGAGAGCAGAACAAAACGGACAAATCAGAATTGATCCTGAATAGCTTATTCATAAATGCAGTCAATGACGGTCAGAGCCATTTCTCAGTCATATTATTTTGGGTTTATTTATGTGTCTCTCCGGTATGATCACTTACTATTTAACACATGGAATTTCCATCTTTTTATAGTGATGTCACAGCAATTTAAGTTTTCCTACATGTCCAGTTGATCTAATAGAGGATTTCTAATATTGGTTTCATTCCTAATTGGGATGCAAAACACTCCATGTGAGAGCAGCTCCTTTCTGAAGTTTGTTATTTCCAAGTCAGATTGCTCAAAGATTTTAATGTACTAAAAAACTTCACATGAGTTGGATCTCTGAGGATTTGGAGGTGTTTGATCACAGCAAGATGCCGGCTTGGTTTTCTTTATCTGAAACATTATTAACAACCGTCTTTGGGGAAAGTTCAGCTCTGAGCTTCCACCGTTATGTTCACGGGGTTTTACTGTGATATGTGATATTTTTATGTAGCAAATATTCTTTTTATCCTTCTTTCTTTAACATTATCAGCAATCTGACAAATTGCTGTTAATTGTTCAGATAGTGTTTAAAATTTCCAAATATTCAGCACTGATTTTTGGTCAAAACTTGAAAAGAACCCCTTTTCTGTCCCTCAGCAGCCATAAACGGTTGTGACCAAGGTGCCATACATTTCGCGAATCATTATGTTCATACGCCTAGATTTCCTCTGCTCTGAGAGAGGACAAAAAACAGATAATAGAGAGAAAGAGAGGAAACGGCTTTACCGCTGCTCTGACAGAATTACAGCTTGTTCCCAGCTTTTATTTGACAGAACTCATCACCACAGTTATTGTTGTGATGAAAGCTGAATCCTTAGAGGCAGAGTCAGACAGAAGTAATTCACTCAGATCAGGAAGCACAGAGCTGCAGAGGCAGCTTGTTGGGCTGCTGTGATGTGTCTGATGTGGCTTCAATAACTTTAACCTCTTGTCCTGTTTTGGCTTCTGTCTGGTATTACAACCACTGCCCAAGATCAAACCTTTTTTTTTTGACTGATTTCTAATCTAACTGTTCCTGTAGGTTCCTCTGCAGGAACAGCATTCAAACGTTTTTGATCATTTATATTATGACAACTGTATTAAAGAGTAGCCACCGTAAAACAGGGTTTGGATTTTTTAAAACAAAATGATGTCCCGTTAGTAAGGTTTTAGATTAGTCTGCCTTCACAAAAACAGAATAAATGTAGCATGTTTCATGAAAGAGGGCCTAAATATTTTTCGCTGCACTCTGTTTAGCCTTCCTGTTATCTGCTGAAAGGCTCTCTCCTGCCCCATCAAAAACCATTGAACCACAAATGCAGGAACTGAAAGGTTAGATTAGTAAGGACATTCATATAGAAGAAGGAAGGTTTCAGTGTAACCTGGTAGCTCTCATGTATACGTCCTCATAAAAAAACATAAAACATCAGGTTATTTGCACACAGACTGGTCAAATAAATGTTTTGTTTTGGGGGTTTTCTTGTACAAAGGATAGAAAGTGTAGTTTTAGAAATCCTGAATGGTTCCTCTCTTTTTTTGTTCTTTCTCCACATTTAAACATGTTAGGGCATTTTTATTCCTTTTTTCATTTTAAAAAGCAACAATCTTGGAAGATTGGTAGCCATCAACACACTTCCTCTAAATTCCTTTTGATCTGTAGTCATTGCTTCTTGTTTTTCACAAATAGCAGATATGCATTTGAATAGAAATATGTTTCAAACGTCCGTTGTTTCACTGAATAAATCAACATGCCTCCATAATGTCCACACACGTACCATCTGACACATAATTGGTGGAAAATAGGACCAAAGCAGCTGGATCTTTGCACTTTCTGAATCAGGAAACGTTCTGTTCGAAAACATTCAAACTCTGAGCTGTGAAATAGTAAAATCCTCACTTAAGAAGAAGCTTAGCCTACCAGTTATAAAAGCAGTTATAATTTATATAGACAAAAAAACTGTTTGCACATCAAACTTCATAGATTATGTTTATATGTTTAAAGGTGAAAGATTGGTGGCAGAAAAAACAACATTCCTCTACAATGTCTCTTGTTGGGGGAATATTCCTCTGCAGATATATGGGCTCATGGGCAACTTTTTAAGTAATCAGGAGTAACTGCTGCCCTTGGACCTCCTGACCCTTGACCTCTGCCTGTGGAGCACCTGGCTCAGAGCAATCTTTTACTAATTACGATTGAAACGATAACTGCAGACCTTTTGACTGGCTGGGTAATGGCATGCTCATAAATAATGGTCTGTGTAGTTAAAAACTCATTCATAACCAGCCATAAAGGGAAAAGGTAACTAATTGTGTGTAATGACGCCATCATTTCGAGTTGTTGGACTGAAAACCCGCTTTGTGAGTCACAGAGGCAGTTTCTTTGCTTTTAAGTGTGTTTTCATTTCAGTATTATTTTTATGTATTATAGTTTATTTGCTCTGCTGTTTATTCTGTTTTGCTTTGACTTTAAGTGCGTTTCCTTAAAAGCCTCGTCTGCTTGGAATGTCGCAGGATAAATGGTGGAAACAATTGCTGGAAGGCCTTTCGGTGCTTACACCACTTATATTTACACACAATCAGAGCCGCCGGTTCCTCCTCCTCACTCGCTGTCCGGCTTTCCTCGTCTGCCCCGCCGTATCTCCTGACCGCTGCCTCTCTCTCTTTGTCCTTTAATCAGCTAAACAGTGGAACTAACTTCCTGTCCATCTGGGGTTTTGCCCCGCCCCTTCCTGTCTGTGTTATCTCTCTCATGAGCCAACACATTGTATTCGCTTCCCGTCAGAGGAGCCTGGGAAGGGGTCTTGGAGGGGAAAAAGGAGCGATGCGAAGAGAAACACGGAATGAAGGCTGATGGGTAGGGGGGGTTAACACAGGATAAGGAGGAAAGGAACAACATAGACCTGAAAGGATTTCCCCTGCTGTGCAGACACACTTCAGAATAAAGAAATATGTGTAATATTGAGACAAAATGCTCAAAGATGTGAGGAAAATCTACGACTTCTTCTTTGCGAAGCTCTACATTTCTTCTCAGAAATATAAAATGCCCCAGAATTAATCTTACAGTGTAAGAACTTTTATTTTATTTCATGAGACAAAGTATCCAAGACGAAAGATGAAAATTTTAGACCAGTTCATATTATAATGTTGC